GAGATGTGTAGTGGGTCGGGGAGATGTGTAGTGGGTCGGGGGGAGATGTGTGTGGTGTGGGTCGGGGGAGATGTGTGGTGGGTCGGGGAGGGATGTGTGGTGGGTCGGGGGGGAGAAGATGTGGTGGGTCGGGGGGGAGATGTGTGGTGGGTCGGGTGGGGGGGAGATGTGTGGTGGGTCGGGGAGTGGGATGTGTGGTGGGTGAGGTGGGTTCAGAGTGTGAGTGTGTGTGTGTAGTGGGTTAGGTGTGAGTTTAGTAGGTTAGGAGGTGTGTGTGGTGGGTCAGGACGCTACAAGTCACACAACACTACCTTCCTACACTGCCATCACTTCACCCATATCACCACCTTCCAAGAAACACACATGCGTTCCTCTGCCAATCTGGTGATACTTTCCAGAATTAGGCAACAGACGATTAAAAAACATTTCAAGCACGTACCTTTTGTGGTTAAAACTCCGACGACCAATGTTACTTTTCCTCTAAATTAAGCTTGTTATAAGTTCGCAAGTGTAATCCTCGTGGAAGCAGTAATTCACAGACATTAACACAGGCCAGGAGCGGCGCACCTACACGCAACACCGTTCACAACAGCACTGAGCAGAGCTGCTTACTACAACCTCCAGCGCTGACCTCAATGCCTTCGTCGTGCTCAGCTGCCAGGTAGCCTATTCCAGCCCACACAAACACTCACTCAAGTTGCCCTCACCACTACTTCCCGTTTAACCTCCCTGTAAGGATAGTGTCTAACCTATTTCCCTCTTTATGTGGGTCTTGCCTCAACGAATCAACGTGCGTGACAAATGTACCCCGTCGGTAGCGTTGTGTACGAGGGTTGTCAAGACAATAATGACTTTTTCGCTGCTCTATTATAAATGAGACCCTCTTTGACTGTTTTTGCTGACATTTGTGTAAATTCCATTACATTTTCCGACGTCTCTTCTCAACATTATGAGTATTTCGTTGTTGTCACTTCAGTTTGTGTTTCTGGGTGACACGTTATTCCCAGTATCCGGTAAAGTTAGACAATCACTTTATGTTGTACTATTTCTGGCTAAGGTTGCTATTATTTTTCTCAAGTTAACCAATAGTGTTTACTGTGTTGTTCATACACCATATAATACAAATGGTTCTTCACACTCACTAATACATGATCCAGGTGTGCGTGACTGTAATTACTTCCAGGTAAACGAGTCTCCACCAAGCATTCATATTTGACCTCTATCTACCTACCTGCTGTGTTGTGTTTAGAGTTATCAATCTTAATATATATGTGTGTGTGTGTGTGTGCGTGTGTGTGTGTATGTCACGTCGTCACCTGTGCCTGTTTCTTAATTCCCTACTAATTCTCTCAAAACGATCACCACTGTCTAGTCATTCCCTGTTGGCGAGGATGGTGACAGCCGGTGAGAATGGTGACAGGTGGTAAGAATGGTGACAGCTGGTGACAGGTGGTGAGAATGATGACAGGAGATGAGGATGGTGACAACTGGTGAGGATGGTGACAGCTGGGGAGGATGGTGACAGGTGGTGAGGATGGTGACAGCTGGTGAAGATGGTGACATCTGGTGAGGATGGTGACAGCTGGTGAAGATGCAGGAGCAGCTGGGGAGGCGTGCAGGACAGCTGGTGAGGATGCAGGACAGCTGGTGAGGATGGTGACAGGGCTGGGTGAGGATGGTGACAAGCTGGGTGAGGATGCAGTGACAGGTGGTGAGGATGGTGACAGCTGGTGAAGATGGAGACCTGGTGAGGATGGTGACAGCTGGTGAGGATGGTGACAGCTGGTGAGATGGTGACAGGTGGTGAGGATGGTGACAAAGCAGGAGATGGTGACAGCTGGTGGAGATGGTGACACAGGAAGATGGTGACAGCCGGTGAGGATGATGACAGCTGGTGAAGATGGTGACATCTGGTGAGTATGGCGACAGCTGGGGAGGATGGTGACAGGGGTGAGGATGCAGGACAATGGTGAAGATGGTGACAGCTGGTGAGCATGGAGACAGCTGGGGAGTGATGGTGGAGGGTAGTGATGGTGACAGCTAGTGAGGATGGTGACAGGTGGTGAGGATGGTGACAGCTGGTGAGTATGGTGACAGCTGGGAGGGTGGTGACAGCTGGTGAAGATGGTGACAGCTGGTGAGTATGGTGACAGCTGGGGAGGGTGGTGGGACATCTGTGAGGATGGTGACAGCTGGTGAGGCGGTGACAGCTGGGAGGGTGGCACAGCTGGGTGAAGATGGTGACAGAGATGAGGATGGTGACAGCTGGGAGGGGTGGTGACAGCTGGTGAAGATGGTGACAGCTGGTGAGTAAGGTGACAGCTGGGGAGGATGGTGACAGCTGGTGAGGATGGTGACAGCTGGTGAGTATGGTGACAGCTGGGGAGGGTGGTGACATCTGGTGAAGATGGTGACAGCTGGTGAGTATGGTGACAGCTGGTGAGTATGGTGACAGCTGGAATATGTCCTGAAGAATTATATCCAATTCAATTTTGTTCAGAAGAATTTTATTGTTGGAAGTAAAATATTTTATCCGTATACTTCCGAGTTTGAAGCCTCGATAAAATACACGTAATATATATATATAAGAAATACGCTCCTTATGCTACCCTGTCTTAACACCAGGTAAAGGCAACACAGGAGGGAGTGTAGACCTTGTGAGGAGCTGCTTCGTCAACTAGCAAAACATGCACTATCAGGTTAAGCAGCGACCCTCATTTGCTTCTTTGTGTTGGGTTTCCAGATCGTGTGTGTACCTCCTCAGGGTAATAATTACTGGCAGAAATTCTTCAACCGGAGCGTTTTGGGTCCAGGAACTGCCTGTGGAAAGTGTGTGTACAGACGTTCACCCATTGTCATTAGACTGTCCGACATCTGCAAGAAAAGGAAGAAAAAACCCAGTGAAAACTTGTTCGACTTTCTTGGGTCATCTTTGGTTACATCGATTTATTGTTTGTTATTGCTTAGATATTTGTTTATGTTTATATACAATCAGTGTGAACTTATTTGGTGAGTCTATTGAACATACTATCCGTCTATGGAGAGAAGGGGGGGGGAGGGGGGGGAAGAGGATTTGTGGCACTGTTTAAGTCACCGGAATCCTACCTCCATTGCCTTCATTGTTGCCTATTTACAAATTTAAAAAAAATTAAAAAAATTATCACAAGAAGATATATCAATATCAACAGTGATAATTTAATGAGAAAAAAAGTGGATGCTACCTCCAAGGCGTTCAAAGCATTTTTAACCCTGGTAATAGGATAGGATAAGATAGAGCTCTTGTAATTTTTCCCAAATTAATGAATAACAAAGGAACATAAGTGGAAATTAAGTAGATACGCAGTTCTGTGAATATACGGAGGCATACAGGAAGGTAAGCCCATCAAATTTTTGTATATACAATAAAGAAGAAGTCAAAATGAGTGAGACCAAGGACTCAGGCGACAGGAGAAGGAAGGCAAGTGTCAACAAACAGAGGAAAGAAGAACACCGAAATGTGTGGAGAATGTGGATTAACAGTCAAGGATAGTGACAGAGCAGTTGGCTGTGATGTTTGTGAAGTGTGGTTCCACATCGAATGTGAAAAATTACCAGAAGAGGTATATAACTTTATGCAAGATGAGGAGGCAGGAGGAGTGTTGATGTGGTACTGCAGTCACTGCAAGAAGGGTTGTGCTAAACTGCACAAGTACATAAAAGAATTGAACAACAACAGGTGGAACAAATGACCAGACAAAATGAATTGGAAGGCAAAGTAAATCAACTGAGAGAATTTACAGCACAGGAACACGATAAGAATAAGAAGATAGAAGTCAGGATGGGTATATTGGAGGCAAAGTCTGTTGATGTGTTGGAAACAAATGCTAAGAATGACAGGGGTTTTGAAAACAGACTGGAAACCTTGGAGGCTAGAACAGTGGGTTTAGAAGGGAAAGTAGATTATAACAGGGCAACAGGTAGTGCCACTGAAGTGAAGCAGGAAGACAACACAGGGAAACCAGAGCCTGTTGGTGAACTTATAGAGGAACTAAATGAGAGAAAGAAGAGGGAAAACAACATAGTGGTATATGGTGTGCCAGAACCTGGATCCACAACAATGAGCGAAAGGATTCACAGGCGTGAGCCTCTTCCAGAAGATCATCTGTGAGTATTATTAGTTTTGTACTGACCATCACTCAGGTTTATAGAATTATATTCTCTAACCAAACTTGCTTCAACCAGAAGTTTTTCTGTGACACATGATGATTTATACACTTCTTTAAACCGGTCCAACGAATTACCCAAAAGTACCCAAAAGTATATTAAATCAGGGTAAAATCTTAACGAATATATGTTTTACATCGATAAAACCTGATTAATAATGTTTTCATTGAAATGTAGTCAAAATAATGAAATAATAAACAGCGAAAAACGCTAAAGTCCAAAGTCACCTATCATAATGGAGATATAATTACCGAGGTTTCTGTTACTTTGGGGTAGTTAACACAGCTCTAGGATTTACTTCATCTTACAAATTATATTTATAAAATTACACTAAAAATATTATTAGACATGTTTTGTGTATGTATAACAGATATTCGTTAAGATTTTACCCTTATTTAATATACTCTTGGGTAATTCCTTGGACCCTTCTAAACTGTCTCCCAATCCTGTTATTTTATCAAGATCTAGCTAAGACGAGAACTGATTCAACTGATCTCCAGCTATGGGCTATTCTTCCTAGGATCGATTAATATTTAGCTCTGTATTTAGTGAACCAGTTTAAAATTATATTAAATATTTATTTAATAAACATTTAGCTACATAATCCTTCCCATCTGATGTTGAGAAACGAGCCTAAACTAAGAATTTATATACATGTCTCTCTTATTACGTAAACGAAGCATTATTAATTTTTATATTCTTAAAATAATATATTACTTATTATTAAATATTTATAAGGAGGAAAACACTTATTTTTTAGTATTTAGTATTTTATAATAGTTTAGATCGGTATCCCCTCAACGTAAACATGGCAGGACTCATGTCTCGAAACCTTTTACCAATTATTCATCATTTTGGTGAGTGGTGGTCATACAGGTTCACTATAGCCATCCTTATATATAATTTAAAGATGGTATATAATTCAGCAATAGTTGTATATAACTAATTATTAATATATATACGTTTATTGCACTATACAAGACTAGAGGCTTGTGTGTTGTTAATTATTCTGTTAATTTGGTCGATAATTTTAAGTTCTGGTTTATATATATTATTTACTTTATTTCAAGTCGTCTGGTTTATAAATATGAAGGATCTTTGCTCTGTTAAACTACTCATTAACCTTCTTTCTCCCCACAGTATTACCCTGAGGATAATCCTGACCCAATGTCTTTATTCTAAGTTATTCTTCATATATATTAAATATCCATAATGACTTAATATAAAATAATCTACTTTGGAAGGCTGTTTGAAGAATGGCAGGTGATATATTTAATTGGTGTAAAATCTTGAACACTTTCATTGAGATTCAGTGAAAAGTTTAGTTTAACTTATGAACAATATGTTATGTCTTGCTGAAAATTAATAGAGATGTTCATGATTTTACACTGGTTGAATGTAATGGTAATTATTTATGACTAACCTGTGGATGAAATTAAGAGAAAATGATTTGAAAAATGGGGGATTTTCACTGTTTTTTTATTGTGGACTGTTGTTGTTTGTGTATATGTGTTAAAAGATGGTTATTTCTGAGATAAACGTAACTTAACCTTTGTGGATATGATAAACAGACTTTACCAACCACTTCAAATAAACCTACCTAACCTAACCTAACCTTACCTTACCTAACTTCCCCCGGACCCCCCGGTATATTAAACAGAGAGAACTTGCTATCATATGGTGTAATTTGAGGGTTTTTCTGGACGTGAGATCATGCGGTTGTATCGGCACTTATGTAGCCCCGGCGGCCGAGTGATATATTGTGATGGCGTTCCGAGTCGAGCCACGGCGTTGAGTTTCCAATCAACAACTGACTTGGCGCTCAAAGCCAGTTCTATTTCACAATAGTTCTATGAAAAATACTTTTGTAAAAAAAATATTCATAAATAAAAGCAAAATACTGGGCTTAATCTTGGTATTTTCAAGCCAAGTTCCTTTATATGGACTAGAACTGTAGCCACAATGCTCCAACCGCTTGTTTTTCTTGTTGACAATTTTCTTATTACATTGGAACAAATTTCTTTCCCGTTTGGAAGCACAGGCATTCCCGCGGTGTGGACAGTCTCTATTTAAGGGAACAATGCCGTGGTCTTTGAATAATTGTAGGGTCTCGTTGTCTTTATCCCTAAATTCACAAATTACGTCCATATAAGACCGGCGACAACCTTCACACGTCATATTGAAAATGAAACTGCCACGGGGTCGGGGGCGGGGAAAAGCGCCGCAGCAGAGCGCGTCCTCATTACCGCTGGGGAGACAAACTAGCGCACACCTGGGCTCCTAATTATCTACAAAACGAAACATTTGCTCACAAAATGATTTTTAATTGCCATATCAGAACTCACTGATGAAAATAAAGTAAAAAAATAAACAGTAATACAAATAACTCGTCCACGGGTTAGTCGTAAATATTGACCAATACAATATTACCAAATGGCAGCTAAAGGTGCCATAGTATGACTTAGCTATTGATTAAAGTGTTGTGTCACAATGTTGAAAGTTTTTTTGGGGGGTAATACTCTTAAGTTCTTAAGATGTCCTCTTTTAATCAGAAACATTACTAAAAGATAACTTCTTTCAGTGTACTAGAAGGCATTAGTGGACATTAACCAGCAAGTTGAGGAATTTTTTCTTTAAAGATAAATGGGTATAACTGCAGTTTGGGACAATATGGATCTCGAGTTGAGCAATGTGTTTTTCCGATGGTTTAGACCATTTTAAGACACTTCTTCTTTGACGTTTCCCTCGCAAATTACTTAAATACACCGGAGGATCCAGGGGGCGGAGCCCCTGGTTAGGATGTTAGGTTAGGTAATTTGCAAAGGAAACCTAGAAGAAAAGTGTCTTAAATTTGTCTTAACCATCGGACAAACACATTGCTCAACTACTAGGGCGTATTGTCCGAAAGTGCAGATTTAATGATAAATGTTTTTAGTAAAATGTACTTAAGATGTCAGGCTCATGGGAAGGAGCCACTTTGGGAAATTTTCTATACAGTATAAGAAAACGTTTCTTATCTCATAAATAGAAATAGGCGGAAGAATTGCAGATTCTCTACTTTTGTTTTTTCCCTCATTTTCATCCACAACGCACTCCTCTGTTATGTGGGGAGCTTTCAGGGAAGCCGCCATTGCTTGTTTATATGTGGTAAGACAGAAATTAGGTTTCATAAACATTAACACTTCATTAAATAAGCACAAAAAAGTGCGTAGACTTTTCACCCTCAGCGACGTAATTGATTTATTGTAGATAAAATAAACCGTCTTACCTTACCTAGAATTGAATGGAAATATTCATGTTGAAAGTCACAGCACTAAGCATTTACCCTCACTCTCTTACATCAGCTGGAATTTAATGATGTTGATGGTATTGAAATCTTCTTAAAGTCTGTTAATGATAAATCACATTTGTTTGTCAAGTGTTTATTTGTAGAAAATGTCATGAAAACTGAGTGATAAATGTGCAATATTGTGTTTTTAACTTCTTATCATCAGGTACATCTAGGTTACTCCAGACCCAGAGATCACCTTTTCTGAGGGAAGCAAGATGTTGGAGTAGTGAATTAGCCACAGCAGTCAAGATCACAGCCCCACGTACCTCTGTCAGTCAGCCAGTGAGTAGCATCTTGTGGTGTGGTGGTATGACCTTTTGTCTGTGAGCCCAGAAAGGGCTACAAATCACTATTCTTAAGACCATGTTGGAGCAAAGAATTGTATAAGATGATATATATATATATATATATATATATATATATATATATTGGGAGTCGAAGACAAAACCTTCGACTAATCCTCAAATTTTTATGCTTCTCACTCCACTCCACTCCACTCCTTGGCCTATTTGTAACAACTATTTCTACCATCCTAATTGTAATATCATTTCTTGGTGCTTGTGTGTATTATTCTGGATGTACTTAAATAGTTAGGCACATTAAATTTTAGTCTAGAGAGAAAAAGAGCTTGGGTCAAAAACTCTTTCAGGCTTTAGACTTACAATTTTTGTCACCGGCCAAAAAAAAAAAAATGGATTTGTTCGTACTTCAGTATAGGTACTCCTGAATGTGCTGCTTAAGGATCTGTTACAACCAAAATTTGATATCTTGATTATAACTTGTTCAAATGGCTTTTAGAAATGTTCAAATGATTTTAGAATAATTTATTACTTTTTGTACGTTAATTACTCGCCACTTGCGAGTTTTCGAGGTCATTTCTTGGTGCTTGTGTATTATTCTGACAAAAATTTCTAAATAGTTAGGCACATTAATTTTAGTTCAGAGAGAAAACGTATTTTTTGGCCAAAATCCTTTTATGCTTTAGAGACTTACAATTTTTGGTTGGCTTTTCGGCCAAAATTGGATTTGTTCAAAAATTTCAGCATAGGTACCCTGAATGTGCTGCTTACGATCTGTTAAATCAAATTTGATATTTTGATTATAACTTGTCTGTTTTGCTTTTGTGAAAATTGCCCAAATGATTTTTTGAATATTTTTAATTACTTTTGCAATGGTAATTACCGCTTCTCGTGGGTTTCGAGGTCATTTCTTGGTGCTTGTGTATTATTCCTGATGCATTTTAAATAGTTAGGCACATTAAATTTTAGTCTCAGAGAGAAAACGTATTTTTTGGCCAAACTTTTAAGGCTATAGACTTACAATTTTCTTTCATTTCTGGCCAAAAAATGGATTTTGTCTAAAATTTCCAGTATAGGTACTCCTGAATGTGCTGCTTACGATCTGTTAACCAAAATTTGATATCTTGATTATAACTTGTTCAATGGCTTTAGAAAATGTCTTTAAATGATTTTTTAGAATATTTTAATTACTTTTTGCAATTTTACCTATCGGCCACTTGCGGGTTTTCGAGGTCATTTTGGTGCTTGTGTATTATTCTGGATGTACTTAAATAGTTAGGCACATTAAATTTTAGTTCAGAGAGAAAAAGTATTTTTGGCCAAAAAATGGATTTTGTCTAAAAATTTCAGCATAGGTACTCCTGAATGTGCTGCTTACGATCTGTTAACCAAAAATTTGATATCTTGATTATAACTTGTTTCAAATGGCTTTAGAAAATGTTCAAATGATTTTAGAATATTTCCAATTACTTTTGCAATGCTAATTACTCGCCAATTTATGGGTTGAGGTCATTTCTGGTGTTTGTATTATTCTGGATGTACTTAAATAGTTAGCACATTAAACTTTAGTTCAGAGAGAAACGTATTTTTGGCCAAAAACTTTTTTGCTGCTTTAGACTTGTTGACTCATTATTTTTGCCAAAATGATTTTATTCAAAATTTCCCAGTATAGGCATTTTATAATAGTGAGCTTTAAGACAAAACCTTCGACCACTCCTCAAATTTTTATGCTTCCTAATTCACTCCTCAAATTATGCTTCCACTCCTAATTCTTGGCCTATTTGTAACAACTATTTCTACCATCCTAATTGTAATTTGTATGTTGTAACCTGCATAGGTAAAAAGTAAAACACCGTGGCTATACTGCTACAGCTTTATTAATGATCTGGACGATATTTAAGAACTACAAAAAGATGATAGGCTTGACTTTCAAAGTTTCAATCAAAAGAAAAATAAATTTATTAAGAATTCAAGATATTAACTAGAAAACACCATTTACATGTATATCTAAAAGTTCGATCTCAGCATATGAATTTTGTTTAAGCTCATAATCTGATGTGGATCTAAATGATGATCCTACAATTCCTTTTAAAGTAAAGTTATATATTTATGTACATTAAAGAAATGAATACCTTATTAAGGAAAATGGATAAACCTTACATGATTAAGTTATTAAATTAAATTTGCCTTAATCTCACCAAAAACAGGTTGTAGCTAATTGTTTTGTAGCTGAGAGCCTCTGTGCAGTTTTCAACGAAACAAAATTTGATATAATTCAAAATTTCAAATGGTAAAGAAGAGACTATCGTCCAAAATTATAGTGCTATACTGTGCCTGCTACAATAAATTCATAATAATGCTTATAAAATGGAAATAAATTCTTTTAATAATTTAAGAAAATTAGTGGGATCAGTGGAATCACTGCAATGAATATGCCTGAGTTCATATATTTGTTCTTAGGAACAGAATAGCTTCAGTCGGAGTCGGAGTCGGAGTCTGGACAATTTTACCGACTCCGACTCCGACTCCACAAGCCGAAATTTCCTCCGACTCCGACTCCACAGCCCTGATATATATCCTTCACTGCTTCTATAAAGGTCCTTTTGTTGTTCACCAGTCCACCTACTACTCCATCTGTCCTTTCATCCCACCCATTTTTTTTAGGAAGATTTTACAAAAAAATAATATTCAACATAGACCAAAACAAATTGTAGACTTCATTTTATGATCTTGGAGTACCTGTAGTCATTGATGCATCACAGTACAGTAGTTCACTGAATCATTTGAGCTGAGTTTTGGCCCTCTGGCAGACAAGTTCTTCACAGAACATTTGTTCTCAAGTAATTCTTGGACAACAAGAACCAGTTGAGCTATTTTTAATTTGTGTTCTTCATACTTACCAGCATCATATTGTTTCACCTGTAAATACAGTATTATGCAATTTCAAAGCACATGTCATTATGTTAGTGGTGCTGAGGCAAGGAAATTAACTCTCTTCTTTGTGTTATTCCAGTTAAACTCTTATTTAATTTTTTCAGGGTCTTCACACTGAAGATCATCTGGGTTTGTGGTACACTTTGGAGCCAGATGTGGTGAAGCGACTTTTTGGGTTAGGTGGAATTCCTAAGTCATACTTATTGCAGTGTAAGACATTTGCAGAGACCTGCCTCATGATAAGAAAACCAGCGCTTACTGTGATAGATTACATCAAGAGGTCCAACCTTAAACTACCACCAAACAAGATAATGCTTTGTATCCTTTTTTAATTTATAATACTGTACCTAGTGTTGCTCAATCTGAATATACAAGGTGTCCACTAAAGACCCATAGGCTACATATGACAGATAATACTATAAAGGGATGTATAATATTTTACATAATATATACTGGTATATAATACAATGTATATAAACATATTACATATACTATTGTATAATATTACATATACAGTACTGTACAGTCCTGTAATATGAGTAGCCTAGCACCAGAATGGGATACCGGGTAAGTGTACAGGTACAGGTATACAGTATACATATAATATTATTTAAAGACCACTTAATAGAACACATAATTTGTATGATTTTTTGCGAGTGGAAAATGCAACCCATTCTTATACTGTACAGGGTATTAGAGAAAAAAATGCAATGCACTCTTGTATTAATGAAAAGTGAGTTGTAAACAATTATGGTACTCACATTGTTGTATGGTAATGAGAGGTGGGTCAGTAAAACAGTAATCCTCGTGTTGTTTTATATTATATACTAAAGGTTAGTAGAGTATAAGGTGGTAAGAAGACTTCTCTGAGGGGTGAACATTGAGTTAACCACTTGTGTATGGAATCCCCTCTCTGCTGAATAAAATCGCATGCCATTAGCCAAATCAAAAGTGGCATCCCCATAATGAAGGGGTTAAGAATTAGAAGATGATAAGATGTTATTAAGGAAGGGCTGAATTGAATAAGGTCTTTGTAAGATGGTATAGGTACAGTATTGATATAAAATTTGTTAATGGATATACTGAACAATGCGTGTAGGAATGGAGCACAGCAGTTGGGTGGATACAGCACTCGCCTACTGTTACAGGGGACAGTGGTACAGTTTTTGGGTGCTCCCAGTTCACCCAGCGGTAAATAGAAACCAAAGTTTACAACTTTGGGAAGTGAAGGTGGTCGAGAGCAGTTCTGGCCATGCTGCCTCCTTGTGTACCAAAGGCTTAGTATACAGTGTGCTGTATCCACACTCCCTGACTGGCATTCAGGCCAATGGGACCCACTTTCATGTGTAGGAAATACTGTACAAGAATTGAAATATTTTGAGTCAGGTTTGTTCTGGCCACCCAGAGACTGTGTACTGACTATAAAGAGTTTCTAGCTAATCAAGAAGCTCGTGTAGGATGATAATGATGATATTCTATTTTGATTTTGAAGTACACTAAAGTTCTCTGCTAATTTTCTCATTGCAAAATACAAATGAGTTTATATAGTTTAAAAAATCTTTGAATCATATAAGTAGGTGTGTGTAAACTGTGTGTGTGTGTATATATATATATATATATATATATATATATATATATATATATATATATATATATATATATATATATATATATATATATATATATATATATATATATATATATATATATATATATATATATATATATCCAAGTTTTAAAGACATAATCTCCTTAACCCGGTGATAGATGGTGAAGATGGTACTGGAAAATCTTTGTCACTGGTGCACATTGCCCAGTTCTTGTCTGAGGATGGATGGCTGCTAGTTCATGTTCCCTGGGGTAGGTATCCTTGGTTCTATCAGCACAAAAACCACACATTTATTACTTTTTTACCTGCATACATCTTCTGTATATACAAGTATAATAGAACAGTATAGTATTGTACAGTACAGTGAACCCTCACTTTACGCGGTTAATTCAACCCACGGCGGCCCGCGTAAAGTGAGAAACGCGTAAAGTGAACAACATAACATATGGGATTAATTGAAATAGAGACCGGGCCAACCCCCAAACTCCACTTTTTCAGACACAATACCTACTTTGTAGTAAAAATAACTTCTTAATTTTATGATTGTTTGCACACACAATTAAAAATTAAGAGAAATATCAATAATATTAGGTTTTTTAACACTTACATGAGTAGAAAAGGTGGCTGGGCACACGGGGATGGGGGGTTGGTTCCGAGGCAGAGGGCAGATTATTGGCCCTCACCTGTATCACTTGTATCAATTTTATCACTATCCACCACAGAGGCTTGCAGGGCCTCTTTGTCAAACCCCTCAAAGTCCATATAAGTCCATATCCTCACTATCATTATCACTATCACTGACTTGGGCCGGCTGTGGTGAGTGGGGGGTGAAGAACTCGGTAATGTTTTGATGACTGGGCGACCTTGTGCGCACCCTGCTCGCGCCGCCCTCCGCGTAAAAGGGTACACACACCGCGGAAAGTGAGCATTCCGGTTTCGGCAAGGTACCGCGTAAACGTGGAAACGCGTAAAGTGGGACCGCGTAAAGCGAGGGTTGACTGTACATTATTCTTTATCTAACGTGATGCCTTCCAACCAGTGGCTCCTTTCTCATAGAGTGACCTTTGTTTCCTTTCCTCACTTAAAGGAAGATACCAATGGTTGCAGAGGGGAAGGATGGGCAGTTGTAAGATAATTTGTCACTTGCCAGTTAGGGATACAGTCAACTGCCTTAGACTCCTCCCCCCCAAAAATAAATAAGATAAAAACTTGCACAGGTAACAAGAGTTACTTAGCTATAGGCTTAGCTAGTAAAGAGGATATCATGATCAGTCCTTTGCTTTCTTATTATTATTTGTTCCACGTGTCATTGATAATAACATTTGTGGACATGGAATTTTAGCTACCCAATGGAGAAGAAATTTCAAAGAGATTGCTCCATCAGCATCAGTCCCAGGCCACTATGATCACCCTCTTGATTCTGTCATCTGGCTCCAGCACTTCAGATCTCAAAACTTGGAACTACTGAAGACCTTGCAGGTAAAATGCCACCTGATTACTTTTTATGTACAAAACTGTAGTGTATTACTTTACCTGTTTGCTCCTTGTCCATGAGAGATATCAATCAGTCTGTCTTAGTCTAAACTACCACTGGCACACTAGGGTTTATCATGGTTAGGCTACTGTAGTTCATTACATTATTCATTAAGGAAAATATTAGTTTTAAGCCCACATCATATACATCTTTTTTTGCTATTTGGAGTGTTGTCTATCCTGGTGAGACAGGCTAAATACCATAGTGAACCAGCACCAGTAGGTAGTATAGTAAATATTACTTTGCCAATTATTACATAATGCCAGGTCTGTATAGAGTGATAAATACAGTGTCACACTTGAAGCACAGTGGCTGCATCAATACTCAGACAGAAGATAGCTGGACACCAAAGGAGTTGTATTTTATGGGTGGTAGGTAAGTATCTTACATAAGGTAGCAGGGCTTGGCCTGCCTGCATCCAGGGCACAGTCTGGATCTATATACAGAGTGCACAAAATAGCCTTTTATAACCTATGTTGACACAACATGAGTGCCCTCATCAATGTGTGGTTATGAATTGGGGATTCAAAGTCAATCCCTCATGTTGATCAAACTTGCATCCCTCTCCACGGCTCTTGCTTTCTCATTCTTTACTCCCTCATCCATTAAGTATTGATTCACCAGGGGGACATGATTTTTATTGTGACAAAAAATCTATATTTTTTATTTCAATAATACATTCATTAATTATTATTACCTCTATTTAACATAACATTAACCATATTTGAAAAAAACAAGCAAACAAAAACATGACAGACCTCTCACTTCCAAGCTGGATGCCAAGGATTTATTAGAATTTACTGAGTCCTGGACTCCCCAAAATTTTAGGCTGTCGAATACTGTTTACTTTATTTAATGAAAACTTGTTTCATTGTTAAGAGATTTTTTTGTAAATTTTTTTTTTTACAGCTTGAGACAAGTGAGCAATATGAATGGTCTCGTCGAGACATAACAGAGGCAGGGGTCCCTCTAATGTCCTTGGTGGAGCAGGGAATATCTCGGGCTAGGTACGCCTCTGATTGCATCAAGGCTCTCACCAACGAGCTCAAGAAGCACGCAACAGCAGGAAGGTAAATACTTCTTTTGTAAGCAGACCTCAGACCTGAAAAAATTAATGGATGTAACAAACATGGATAGGGCCAATATGACGACTGATAAATGTGAAGACTTTGGTGGTGGTTCCAGAATCATTATCCAGTGGAAAGTTTTGTAGCCTGGAAGCATTTTCATTGATTATGGATTTCAAAAAGAAATTCTTCCATTTGTATTTTCTACTTTTCTTTAATTTTGTTGTATAAAAAGGTAAAATACCGGTACTAATTTTATACTCACACCAGTGTAAATGCTTATACATGTACAGGGTACAATCTCAGTTTGCCATCATCACTTATATTAACTCACTTTTTTGAAATAACAAATTAACATGATTCTTTTTACTATATACACTGAATTTATTTCATTGACTGAGTAATGTGGACTTTGAATAGGGGAGGATATACTTGGAGAGTGTAAGGTGCACTCTTATGGGCAGGATGTATTATATAGAAGATGGGGTAGAACTTGTCTCTGAATTTGGTTTCATCTGTGAAATGTATTTCACCAAAAATCATTTTAATGGTTGTTTTCCACATTTGCATGGGTTAGCCGTGATTGTCTGATGGCAGCACTCCATGTTGCATGGGTTGACTGTATATATTATAATTTTTATTATATTTTCGCCACCCAGACCCCAATGTGGGTCAGCGACTTGTGCCCAGGTAGGCTAATACAAAAAAGAAATTCTGAAAACCGAAAAATTACGAAATCCAAAATGCCTCTGGCCCCAAGGAATTCGGATAAGGGATTGTCAACCTGTATCTCAAATATTGAGCTTTTCAGTCCTGTGAAAAGTCACATAATTACTGACTATATTCAAGAGGAAAGGTAAATCTCTATTAGGGATTGAACAGGTGGATGAAACTGAAGTCACCCATTCTGTCTTTTGTTATAAATTGGAACACCAGGATTTAGTCCTCCATTTGTCATCTAATTTAGGGATTTATACTTGATTTAAACATCAAGTGTGGAGAATAATATGCAAAACTTTCTTCTGGAATACATGATTCTTTTTTTCTTTGGTTTAGAGTAATATATTTTGTTTTGTGAATTACCATAATTTTCTATTTTAGAGTGGGTTTTTATTGATAATTTTATCTTGTAGATGTAAAGTTGCACTTGTGGCAGACGGCATCAACACATTCTTCTGCTCCAAGTCCCGGTACCGTCTGGAGGACCTCTCTTACTTGGAGCCACAAAAGTTCACCATCTATCAAGCATTTATGAATATGTTGAACAATGACTGGGTGAGTTTTTTCTTATGTTATTGAATATATTTCCTGTTAATAAAAGAGAAATGTTACAGTAAATGTGCATAAAATGGATTAATCAAGAAAAGAGGATGCAGATTTGTGGGAATGTCTTGGGACATGTAATACAGTAGACTCCTGTATTGTGGCTGGATTAATTGATGTGTTGACAGTTTGGTTGTTAAGAGAAAATTCTAGTTACTCGTGCAGTTTCATGGATGTGTTATTATGCAACTGTCAAAAATTTAACACAACTTTTAGTCCCTAACTGATTGGTAGACTTAGCTATACAGGGTGTCCCATGTATATATTATCTGACACAAATACCGTATTTGTGTAATAAAATAAAGGTTATTAAAGAAAACCATATCTGTTAACTCACATTGAAGTACAAACATTTGAGTTTTGTTTTACTGTACTCTATACATATTATTACAGGCATGATTTTTATAAATTAAATTTTAAACATTTTGCCCATTGCAATTGATGCACTCCCTGCAGTGAATCAAGACAAGTGTTCATCTTTATGTAGAAGGTTCTTGTAAATTCTTGAAAGATCTCCATCTAGTTGGTACAGCTGGTTTACCCAAATGTCTTGGATAGTGATGAGACTGGGTTAGAGGAGGGAGATTTACTGTATACAGGGTAATAGTCATCTTGGTGAAAATGTATCCTTCATCTCATCCCCTTTCTTTCTATTGATATATAAGCTTTGTACACTTGGTTGTTTTTTCTAGTCTTTCTTCTCTTGGAGAATTTAGCCCCATCTCTTCCTGTTTTTCCTTGTTGGCTTTTGTGTTTATGAGCACTTCTTGACAACCTGTGGTTATAAAGGAGGAATTGAAACTAAAATCCCACTTTCTACCAAATTTTAGAGACAATGACTCTGTTCCCTCTGTCATCTGTTGAGTCTTATCTAGGGGTTGGCAGGAAGTAAGGCAGTAGCAGTGTCTTGATTTATGACTTAAGATGGAGCTGAACAGATTGTGTACTGTATGTGATATCCATTTATCTGACTCATAGGTTTCCAGTCTTTAAACTCATTGTTGTGGGGCAGAAGACAACCTTTATATTATTCCCAGCCATTGTTAGTTAGGGCTTTCTGTTGGTTCCTTACCACCAAGCTTAAAAGAGATACATTATTGAGTCATGGTATCCAGATGTGATTATAAACTTTTATTTCTATTTCAAGAAGATTTGAGGTTTTACCAAATTTTGCATTAATTTTTGGGACTGGAACCTAATTAAATTTTTATGTATACGGCTGAGAATTACTAAAACACTTAACTGAATCATGAATTTGTGATACACTTTATAATTAATTGATTTTATCCATTACATAAGTAAGTTTCAATCCCAATATTGTTTATACTCTTGATACTGACAGTTATTTATCATTTATGTGTAAAGAAATAGATTTGTCCCTATTGTCTCTTTTTCCTGGCAGAATAATGGCATTGTAGTTGGGAGTGTTGACAGACTCGCTAATGATGGTCAAAGGCGCGACTCTTACTTACCAAGATATGTCCTGAGACAGATGGTAAGTGCTGCTTTAACCTTCATATGTTTTATTTGTGGATAGGATTAATGTTAAGGTGTTGTTTAAAGTTCCTCTGTGGCTTTTGAGTGCTTGTTTTATTTATTGTTTGTAAAGGACCAGTTCTCAAGTAAAGTGATTTCTCGGTGTATCTTGATCCGTAAACTTCATCATTGTTTTATTTTTACAATTCTTCAGTCCATTTAATATGACAGGAGACGAGCCTCAATATATGTGTTTGCACTATAATAACCTGGAGATATTACATACCATATTTACAGTTATCTCCCAGTTAGCCAGAATCTTTGATCCCCAGAACTTTCCATTACCCATAAAATAAAACTTTAACATTCCAAGAAATTCAGAGAAAATCTTTCTATTCCGGGCATTCAAATGAATTTCTGAGTGATTGCAACTTATGCCCGGAGCATTGGTAGGTAGGCTCCGAGTGCTTGTGAGCCACAAGTGGCTGCTACTGTCATATGACACAAATCTTTGAAAAAATTATTTAAAAATTCAAAGATATATCTTGCCAATCATGAGGGTCATTTGTCATTGTTTTGGTGCAGCAAGGTGTGGACCACGTGGTCATGCCAGCTCAGCCCGCATCACAACAACATAGCTGCGCCGTGTACGGTATTCATCGTAGGATAAGGCAAAAATTTATTTTCATAACTGCATATTTTTATTAAAACACAACTAACTTAATTTTATTGAAACAACATTTACCAATCAATTAAAAAGGACATTAATAATAAAGGCCAAACAGTGATGTGAGGAGGGACTGGTGGGTGGCAGCTGGCCCACATCACCTCACACATATGTACATGATAACCACCAACACCACACTGTGCTGCAATGCCCATCAAATAACCTTACTTTACTTTATCCTCTTCGCCAAAATCACTTCCCCACCACTGCCACCACAATTAAGGTATACCTTTTAGCTTACCGTGATAATATATATATTTTGTTTCAGTACTGTATTTTATATTACTTTTGTAATAGTAACACAAGACTTGTCTGGCCACATCCCCCTAACCCTCTCCCTACCACTCCAGGCCAAGCTCTGATCTATGTTATGGTTATTTATTCAACTCATTTTTTTTTACTATGTTCCAAGCACACTCAATCTTACATAATGAATGTGCAAAAAAGAAAATAATCATGAGGTAAAAAACATAAAGGGAATAACTTTCTTCGTGTGTTGAGAGTTCACGCTGAGCAGGGGAGGGAGGAGTGAGGGATCTCAGCTGTTCTGAGCTGTCTCCTCTATGTAGTGATAAATTTCGTTATCCAGCAGCCAAATGGCAGTACTGTACAGAATTATGTTTTTATTTTATTTATTGGTATTTTTATCCCACACATTTACTGGTACAATAAGTATTATTTTATATTCCTCATAGGAGTTGGTAACTGGCAGGAATTGAGTTTCAGAGTTGGCAACAATGTTCATAGCGTCAAACTTTTGTGGTGGTGGTCACGGCCAAGATGCGTTGGAGTGAATCTGGTGTCTTGCTACAAATTATGTCTAGGATTATACCTAGTATTTCTCAAAAGCTATAGGGTAAAATGAACTTTATAACAAACCACGAAGTTGACTTGAGGGTAGACTCACATTTTTCCTACATTTTGATACATTTTGTTGTCTTGTTTCTGATTATTTGTGAGAGGATTTTCCCATTATTATTTATTTGTGTGTGTGTATGTGTATGTGACTGCAAACCGAGGCAGATAAGCGCCAACGTCGGAAAGACGCTGCCACAGTAGGTGGAGCCCTCCACATGAGCAACGAATGTGGACGACGCTGCCGGTCCCGTATCGGGCTCTTTAGTCACCTCAAAACTCACTAACCTAGGTGACATCCCTAATAACCTATATCATTTTACCATAGCTGGATGATCGTCATACTCGATTCCGAGTGACAGCAAAGTAGTAGTACAGTAGTAGTGTGTGTGTGCGCGTATAGAAATTTTTCAATTTTGATTGGGGCAGATAGAGTAAATGTACCATTTTCCCCCCTCAGGAAAAGGTGTCCCTCATCTTTTGTAAAATCTCTTAATTCATAAGGGCTAGAGCCCCAATTATTTCTAATTTCAGTATGGGGTTTTTACTGTAATAACATTTTGCTAATAATCTTCTTTTTTTCCAGGGATGGGAAGCACTAGATCCTTTTATTCCTATTCTTGTATCCAATTACAATGAGCTGGAGATGCAGAGTATCATTGATTATTATGTTGACCGTCACTGGCTGCAGAACCCAGAAGGACATTCAGAAATAGGACGACGTGAACTGGTTTCCCTGAGTGGTTGTAACCCATATATGTTGATGAATGTGACTAAGTCTCTTTAACTAGGAATTGTTATTGTAAAAAGTAATGTGTACAGCTGTATAATAAAATATAGAAACTTATAATCAATTAATGGTTTATATTTCATATGTTAAATTAAAATTATATTTTAATAGCTGGTCTTTTGTTTCTCAAACACGTCAGTTCTTCTAAAGAATTCACTCAAAAGACTACTAGTCAAGGACCTGAGAATAAAAAGAAATAATACAAGTACAAAAGAGGATCACAAAAAGTGACAGTTCGACTTATATCATTTGTATATCCCTAAATTGTAACACTTCCTAAACCCTGTAATTCTTCATTACTGTATCCTCTTCAGGATCATAAGCTTTCAAAAAAGAAATGTCTGAAGTTGTTTCTTAAAGGCCTCCACAGGCAATGGATGCTGGTAATGGATTGTACACTAGGTAAAAATATTATCTTTCCAATTCTTGTGCAAAACAAAATGACACCATGAATGAAGGTTTTTGATAAATCCAGTGAACTAATTTTATATTTTGAATGAAATAGCTAAATTAGGCCAACCATAATAGGTAGGAAATGTCTCGCAATAATGCCAACCAACCAATGCGAGACAACAAGATTTTTCACTTCCAAATTCATTGGACCCCTCCTGAAAGATACTTTTTTACCAAGTGTACAATCTGGGCGCTGTATAGGAAAAGGAGCGAACAGGAAAAGAACATTCCAGTAGTGTTCTAGGTAAGTAAATTGGAATTAAAGAGTGATGAAAAAGAGGAGGTATGGTTGGCTTAATGTAGATTATTGTCATAATTGCTAGGTCAGTAATAGCTGCAGGTACAGTGAATTTTAGGTCACTGAGCATTTAATGTTGAAATGAATTCCAAAGGAAAAGGCTTTTGTGTACAAGAGAAAGACATCAGTGTAAAATGGCAAAAAATAATGATTTGTTCTATAAAGTACAGTACAGTTATTATGCACTTATTGTTCAGAGGTAAAAGTTGAATGTCTCTCAGTTGTGTGATACTGTATAAATATGCAAATTAGAATTAATTAAACTAGAATATGAACAATGAGATGGATAGAATTAATTGATATATGTTTTGTTTGACTTTGTTTATACGTACAGTACAACTTGCGGTAGACAGATGTGAAGCCTGCGTTCCTGGGGGTGGGGAGCAGAAATAGGACTTGAGACAAACTGATAAAATATGTCTGCAAGAATCAAGTTGGGCATTATTTCTGAATTGCTCATCACTTGTTTTATCCAAATACAATAGGTCTTCTCTTTTTTCTCTATTTATCTCTCTTCCTCTTTGTTTCTCATTCTTTTGTGTGTGTGTGTATCTCCCTAAAACTTAAGATTCTTTCCATCTCATTTTTCATTTTGTTCTTTATGTAAGCCACATGTAGGTAGTGGGAGTATGTCAAACATGGGTCCATCAGGCACCCACTGATTCCCATCACTGTCTAGACTTGCTTATCAAGGAAAGTTTTGTCATTGAATATTTAGCAAATACAAAAAGAAATAAAAGGACAATTAATATGCAGTTTTAGGGATAAAATTTAATAAATGTTTGTTTATAAATCAGCTTTTGACTCACTGTTGACACAATTACTAGACACTTCTGAGTCAATATTGACTCACTGATGACACATAAGTAAAATCCTTGCACCCAAACACTGGCACTAATAATTCAATGAACAAATAATCTAATCAGGTGTGCTGTTTCATGCTAGAAAGCTAATTAATGGTAGAGTGCATCATGGAATTTACAACTGAGAACTATTGACGTTTCCTTTCTTCTCACAGTCACTAATTTTCTTTCCTCTTTCTACCCATCCTCTGTCTCCTTAAACTCCCCTCTCCCCCTACTCTACCCTCCCACAGTGAGCAGGTGTGACCACCAGTCAACTGGGCCTGATCCTTCCTGGGTGGAAGAGTATTGGATTTCTTTGAGTGCTGATGGACCACAACACCAAGAAGATCCAGATATTGAGAGTAAATACCAGGGAGGACCCAGAGTGGGACACCTACCTTATTTCCTCCTACTGGTATATTTCCACTGGTATTTCACCTGTTTTACTGGTACATTGGTCCTTCCACCAATACATCACCACTGGTATACATTTTGGTATACCTGTACTGTGTAGCCTACTTCTACTGGTACATTTGTCCATTCATTAGTATCTCAATAAATTCCAATGGAACATTAGTTTCTCCACAAATTTCTCAAATCCTCCCATTAGTGATGGTTAAAAAGAAGATTTGGACAAGTTAATGGAATATGTAAGAAAGAGGTGAATGAATGACAGCAAATGAAGGTGAATCTTTTTGTCAACCCCTTCAGTTTTAATATTTTACAGTATTTGGCTAATGCCATATGATTCTATTCAGATTCAGCTCAGAGGGGAACCCTGTACACAAGTGGTTAATTATTCTAAGAAAAATGTATACTTTCTGCCCTACAGTTTTTCATGAAGATGACATGAATGTTTCTATTACAATAGGAACATTGTCCTCACTTGTTAATGTGCAAGGTCTCCCACAAGTGAAGACAATATTGTTGTAATATAAGTATTGATGTGATCTCCACGAAATTCTGAGAGGCAGTGTATATACTGTCCATTCTTTTAAGACCCTGTACATAACCACTAGTAAATCTTATACTTACGTCTTTCCTGACACGTACTGAACGTGAAACGATCCTGTCCTTCACACGTCAAGGTGCTGAAGGTTTCTTGAACTTTATTCTCTCTCTCTCTCTCTCTCTCGAATATATGTATGTATTGATAGATAGATAGATCGATGGTGGGACACGGACATTTAAAAAATGTATATATATGTTTTTTAATATCTCATTTTATCTTATTTTCTTCATCTTACTATAGGGCCTAGTCCATGGCCCACCTGAGAACCACCCCATGGCCCACCAGTTGAAGACCACTGCGGGCCTATACTTATTGTACAGGGGCCCCATCCTCCGGGCCCTTTACTTATTGTATAGGGGCCCCATACTCCGGGCCCTATACTTATTGTACAGGGGCCCCATGCTCCGGGCCCTATATTTATTGTACAGGGGCCCCATCCTCCGGGCCCTATACTTATTGTACAGGGGCCCCATACTCCGGGCCCTATACTTATTGTACAGGGGCCCCATGCTCCGGGCCCTATATTTATTGTACAGGGGCCCCATCCTCCGGGCCCTATACTTATTGTATAGGGGCCCCATACTCCGGGCCCTATACTTATTGTACAGGGGCCCCATGCTCCGGGCCCTATATTTATTGTACAGGGGCCCCATACTCCGGGCCCTCTACTTATTGTACAGGGGCCCCATACTCCGGGCCCTATACTTATTGTACAGGGGCCCCATACTCTGGGCCCTATACTTATTGTACAGGGGCCCCATACTCCGGGCCCTATACTTATTGTACAGGGGCCCCATACTCCGGGCCCTATACTTATTGTACAGGGGCCCCATACTTGGCCCTATACTTATTGTACAGGGGCCCCATACTCCGGGCCCTATACCCCATACTCCGGGCCCTATACTTATTGTACAGGGGCCCTTATGGCTGTGAATATATTATATAATGAAATACTCGGTGTACACTTGAAACAAGGTTATACGCTGACACGCTGCGTGACAAATTAGTTTCAGTGGGCCCCCAGTTACCAGTGGGCCCTAGGCCAATGGCCTACTTGGCCTATTGGTAAATCCGGCCCTGCCTGCAGAACATGATTGTAATTTTGATGTCATTTTGTAATTTTTGAGGTAATTTTGGGCCTTGATCTGAGGGAGTTGATTATACTGTAGAAGCTATCATATTCTTTGTTGGGAGGAAAATTTATGGTATGGATCTTTGAGAATTGGAATCACTTATCTCAAAGGTCATTTTTGCTATTCCATTCCTGAGAATTGTTTTGATAACTGACGTCATAGTGGAAGTTTATACACATTCTCGGTACGTTTATATTTTTTGATAGCTTCCCAAATGTCTTGAGTCATACTACAAGCAAAATCACTCTTCTTAGTTCTAAAAGATTTACAACGTTTTAGAAATTGAGGTGACACACAACATAGTTCTAACGTTAGTAATTTTGATGGGAAGGTTCTGGCTGCCCTTTACCGTCATCTCACAGTTAATACAGTTAATACAGAGGTTTAATAGTGCTATTTAACAAACATGACTGTATCCGCCGTCATAATGCTAGTGACACTGTTTCTTGGCCAGCAGGTCTGCAACTTTCTCCCAGCTATTAATTCACTCAATGCAGATTGGACAACAAAAAGTGGTCAGCCTGTTCTGTTTAATTCCATTCTCTTTCTATGCAGTTGTGAAGGCGTCTGCTTGTTTGTTGTTAATTACAGCCAGCGAGTATGTCGGGTAAGATTTATTGCTGCCGTTGTTAGCTTTACGAACTATGAATAACATCCCTCTTTGCCGAGACTGGTTGACTGAGATTGGTTGACTGAGACTGGCTGACAAACTGACTGATTAATACAGTATTGGCTTACTGAGATTGGCTGACTGAAACTGGCTGACTGAAACTGGCTGACTGAACTGGCTGACTGAGACTGGCTGACAGACTGATTGATTAATATTGGCTTACTGAGATTGGCTTACTGAGATTGGCTGACTGAGATTGGCTTACTGAGATTGGCTTACTGAGATTGGCTTCCTGAGATTGGCTGACTGAGATTGGCTTACTGAGAATGGCTTACTGAGATTGGCTGACAGACTGGCTCACTGAGATTGGCTCACTGAGATTGGCTGACTGAGACTGGATTACCGAGACAGACTCACTGGCACACTGAGTGGAGATGAGGTTTTTACTCAATAGAGATTCTATGAGTATAATTATTGCTGCAACAATTCACAATCTAATGATGGGAAAAGGAGGCCTGACTGTATTTCTGTCTAGCCCCACAAACTCTTCAAAAAAATTCATGTGTGTGTTTTGTTACTTGTTACTGCCTTCATGTGTGCTTTGTTACTTGTTACTGCCTTCCGTTGTGTTTTGTTACTGCCTCCCTGTGTGATTTGTTGATGTTATTGTCTTCCTGTGTTTTGTTACTTGTTACTTCCTTCCTGTGTGTTTT